TACGTTCACAGTTTGTTAAACAATTATATCTTGAAAATGAAATACTATCAAGCCAAAAATGATTACTTTTATGTACAAGCCCTCTCAAGCAGGTTTAACTATATATATATATATATATATCATGAATAATACTTGAAAATTTATACGTACTTTTTTTCACACAGTACACTGTGTATTATGTTCAGAGTTTGTTAATGATTATACCTTGGATCTGGATTACTCTTGCTATAGTTTGTATGACTACAATTAAAGTTTGTTATGTATGAAAGTTTATTTTAAATATGTCTATGCATAATTTTATTACTAAATTAGTAATCTTGCATTTAAAATCTCATATCGTAAGTAATAATTAAACATAAAAGAAAGTAATGCAATAATAAAATAGTGTAAAAAGGTGTCATTAGTGAAAAATGAACTCATCTTTGTTGAATATAAATAATGTAAAAAGCAAAAAATCATATAAAAAATAAATATACTCATATTCAAGTTTTTGCTAACTAGTATTCCTAATATGCATCAGCTTTATTATATGAAGGCTTACGATGTTTAAGTTTTAAACTTGGTTATTCAAGATTATAAATTTAACATAGCTCTTTTTATAACAAGTTTTTATTTAATTGAATGACAATATAATGATAAGAATTAACATTAACTATTTAATTCAATGAGTTTATTTAATAAAAAAGGATTATATCACTTTATTTATAGCGATAATTAGCAAATACAAACATTATCAGTTTTTACTTTTACTTATAAAGATATTAGTAATTCAAGTTTTTTGAACTCTATATTGTGCCCATGAATCCTTTTCTAGCGATCAAGCTTTTACAGGTTTAAGATTGTTTTATGGATACAGTTTGTGATTAGGATTAAATAGTGCTTTGCTTTATATATTAATTAATAGTAATAGTAAGCAAGGATTCATATCAATTTATAATTTAAATCCAGTATTTAAAAAATTTTTTTTTTAAATAAGACTTTTTTTTAATCAAATGATTTAAAAAATATAAACTTTAATTTTCACAGTCTTATTTTTTTTATAAAAAAAAAATGAGCGAATCTCATTTTGATAAAAATTTTCAAGATAATACCTCACAAGATAAAAATTCTCAAAGTAAAAATCTCCAAGAATCTGTTTAAAAAAAGTCCGCTGGAGGACCACTTGCAGGAGTTTGGAATTTCTTCAACAAAGGTTCTTCTGTAAAGGTTATTGTTCAGAACAGTATAAGGAATACGGTATATTCTAGGCACATGCCAAACCTGTAGATTTAGAAAAACACTTGGTTTTAGATTGTCCTAATCAAAATAAGGATATTATAGATTTCTATACTCAAATTATTGCTAATCGACAAGGCCGTAGCCAGGCTGCATCTTAAGAAATTACACCTGGTGTTGAACTAAGTAAAAAAAAATGTAAACTAGCAGGTGATCAAGCATCATTATCAGAGTTTTTAAAAAGCACCAAATTAACTCTACAGCGTGAAAATAATATTAATTCAGCTTTAATCAAAGTATTTATAGTATGTAATATTCCTTTTTACATTATTAGCAATCTATATTTTATTGATGCATTACAAGAATTACGGTCTGGATATCAACCACCATCAAGACAATTATTTGCAGATCGATTATTAAATACTGAAATTATTAAACTCAATCAAAATATTAGAAATAGATTAAAGATAATATAATGAAAAAATACACAAATATGAAAAATACTTATCTGTTATGCTCTAAATCCTGATATAAGGTCAAATAATAATAATAATAATAATAATTTAGATAAATTTAAAAAACCCAAAGTTAATGTTTTAGTTTTTTTTTTAGAATTTATAGTTTTTTTTTTAAAGAATTTTATTTGAGTTTAGAGTTTATAGTTTTGAATTGTAATGAATTTATAGGAATTTATAGTTTTTTTTGAGTTTAACAAATTTTTTTAAGTTTATAGTTTGGGTTAAAGAAAATCCATTATTTGAAAATGTAATGAATTCATACCTGTAAGTCACATACAAGAAATTTTGGTTGGAGTAATTTAGGTTTGGAATTGATATATATAGTGATTTATTTTAAAGAATTTGGCAAATTTTAGAAAGTTAAATTTTAAAAAATTGTTTAAGTTAGAGTAGTCTATATAGGAGTTTAGTATTTAGTTTAAAAATTTAAAGTATAGAATTTAATATAGAATTTTTTTAAATAAAATTTTTAGAATAGAATTTTCAAGTCACTGGTTGACTAGCTCAGAGGACCTTGTATTTTAAGAAGAAGAGATGTGTAATATAGTTATTAGGTCAACAGAGTACAATGCAATGATCATGTAATTATGTGATCATGATTACATGATGCCAATAGACCTTTCACTCAACAACTTGCATACCATATATTTCTGAAAATAAGCTACCCTTTTTTGGACAATTTTGAATACAAAAAAATTAGTAGTAGCTTATTTTCAGATATAATTGATTTTTGCTCAATTTCGAAAAATTTTATTAAACAAATCGATAATGTGTTAAGTAAAGGTTGTTCAAGAGAACAAAATACACATATTCTAAAAATTTTAAGCAAATTGGATAACTTTTTATTAATTAACTTTTGATTTTTACATTCAACAAATATGAATTTTAAAAAAATTTTAAAGAAATTTTAAAAAAATTGTCGAACGTAACATGCTAAAACATATTAATAAAAGTTATCTGATTTATATAAAACTTTTAGAATATATGTATTTTGATCTTCTGAACAACTTTTACTTAATAAAATATATTGATTTACTTAGTAAAATTCTGACTTTACTATAGGATAACTACCAGTGATTGTATAGTAGTTTATTTTCAGATATAAGAGAATTTTATGTTTTTTTTTTCAAAAAAGGAAAGTAGCTTCTTTCGGATATAGTTTATTTTCAGAAATATATGCTATTTATTTATTTATTTTATAATATTGTTATGTTATTATATAGATCATTATACATAGCATTGGTAGAATAATAATTAACATCAAATAGGGTTGTAACTAAGAGGATTATACAGTAATAATTTTAGAAAGAATAGTCTAGAGAATAGATAGTTAGTAAATTAACTTCTCTAAAAATATAAAAATATCCTGTAAAAGACTTGTAAAAGGCATCGTTCACTGCCTCAAAGTCTTAATGATTTAATAAAACAAGTCTCTTCATCTTGAATTTCTCTAAATAAATCTATCTACTCGATTATTTGTCTTACAATACCTTAACTTCTGTAAACCACATAATAATACTCTAAAACTACTTTAAACTACTTTGTTTTTTGTATTTGTTTTTAGTATTAGTTTTTATCTTTTTTTTCTTTTTTAGTATTAATATTAGTATTAATATTTTTTTGTTGTTCTACTTCTCTATAAGAAGATATTATCAGATTAATAATATCCTATTGTAGAATAGTAGTCTGACAGAGCCTTTTAGGTTTTTGATAGATTTTTTTGAAATTTATCATGATGTTTTTCTTGTGAATTCATTGGTCTAGTGTGACTAGTTGCTTGTAAATACTCTTAGAAATAACTGCAAGCTATCAAATCTTAATATTATGATCATGTAATGTGTTTTTGGTTTACTGATCAAATGAATATAATAAAGAATATTGGCAAGATAGCCAAAGTGAAAAAAAATTATAAAAAATAACAAAAAATTAGTTTTGATTATAACTATTTTTAACTAGTATCGATATCACCACCTTTATTGTTTATCAAAATTTAGAGTTAGGATGCAGTTTTAAAAAAATAAGTATTAGGTATAAAGGTCAAATTTTAGTTAAGGTTAGGTTTTTGGGAGTTTTAAACATTTTTGTTTAGTATCTTTAACATGAGTTAGCTAGTAGATTTTAAGAACTACTGTATTCTTCCAAAAATAAGCTACCTTTTTTTGGCAAAAAAATTATACAAAAATCATGGGGTAGTTTATTTTCAGGTAAAGTTAATTTTTATTAATTTTTTATTAGCCGCAAGTAGTTTTTATATATAAAAGTCAAAATTTTACTAAGAAAATTGATATTCATCGCTTAATACAAATTATTCAGAAGGTAAAAATACACATATTTTAAACGTTTTATACAAATTGGAGAACTTTTTATTAATACGTTTTTGTATTTTACATTCAAACATAGAATGCAAAAACGTATTAATAAAAAGTTCTCCAATTTGTATGAAACTTTCAGGATATGTGTATTTTTACCTTCTGAACAATTCAATTAAGCGATGAATATCGATTTACTTAGTAATATTTTGACTTTTATATATAGAAACTACTTGTAATTAATAAAAAAATTATAGGGTAGCTTATTTTCAGAATAAAGATGTTTATATTTTTTCTTCAAGAGAAGAGAGGGTAGCTTCTTTTGGAGGTAGCTTATTTTTGGAAAAATACAGTATATCTTTAAAATTAATATTTAAAGAGTTCGTCAAGAATAGGTTGATAATTTTTTTCATTAAAAAATTTTTTTTAAATTGGTCTATTTTTATTTTATAAGTAACTAAGACTTTTTCTTATAATATAAAATTAAATACTGCTATAATATAATCTTTATTTTCAAATATTATCAAAAAAAAATTTTATTTAAATATATTAAAATTTAAAAAAAGTAGATTATAACCATATTTATGATAATTTTCTAGACAAATTTGCCTGGAAAAGCCTACAGTTTAAGAGATAGTATTATTATAGTAATACATAACATTATCGAAAGATATTTAAATCTTGCCTTTTTCTTCAAGGCAAGAGGACATCAATGTATGCTCCACCTCTATTCCTTTGATAATTTATATTGTTTTTGGATATATTTGACTCTTTTTTTTGATTGTTTTATTGTTATAAAGCCTTATTTTGTTGTAATAAACTATAATTCTATAATGTAAAAGGGTGTGATGATTTAGTGAAGTGGTTAAGTTGTCGCACTTCCAAGTGACATGTTGGCTAGGTAGGGTTTGAAATCTACTGGTGATGAATTTTGAAAATTCTATCTGTATGATAGCTACTGTCATTCCGTTGATTGGTTGGAATATCTCTGTAATCTTGGTAGTACCAACAAAGATTAGAAAATCATAAGATATTTGTGTAATATATAAGTTATATAAATAAGCTTTTGGATCGTAGTAAACTCAGAAAACTGGAAAAGATGATAGATGCTTACTTAGCAAAACCGAGTAGAGAGGTAGCACAGATCTTCAATGGTACTACTGAAAAATCATCATTAGGAGAACTAGCAAAACTGAACAGAACTGAAGTGTTTGGCAAGGCACTCTACCAACCAGACCGCCAGAGGAATAACTGAAGGAAAAGGACCCAACTATAGGAATCAAAAGCAGGGCACAGCCCTTCTGAGCCATCTGGATTAATAGTTTGGAATTGTCAAGATTAAAACTAGTGATAGTCTATAAAGTATATACTGGGGTTTGAGTGAACTCTACAAGGGTAAAAATAGGTGATGATAGTGGTTTTGGCTCGCAAATACTTGTTCTTGGACTTGGCGTAAGTTACCAAAGTCTAGGTTAGCTGAATTGTGGATACAAAAAGCTCTAACAAGTTTATCTCAAGGGTAAATTAGCCCTAGGTCAGGCACTTCCTATAACTGATATTGGTTCTTCATAAAGATATGATAGCGCAGAGGGTTTAAATAGATAATCTCTAATTAGATTATAGATATAGCATCTAGTATAGAACCTTCGGGTAAACTACTTAAATAAACAATCAAAAATTATATGTATAACTAGTTGTACTCTCTAAAATCATGTACCAAATGAGTAGCAGCTGACTTCGATCAGCTTAGCATATAAACTAATAAAGACAACTGACTATAAGATCACTTTGATATTAAAAAAAAAAATTAATAATTCTATAATGTATTTATAGTAGGTTTATTGTATTTTTATTGAGTTTTATAGTAAAATTATTGTTTTTATATTGATATTTTTGATTTATACTTGAGTAAAGTTGTTAATTTTTAATTTTGTTTAGTTATTTTTATAGTATTTTTGTTTAGTTTTAGGCTTTTATTTTATTTTAAGATCACATTAGCAATAAGTCAACAATATTTTATTTTATTTATAAACTGTTTCTTTAGTTCTATTGTTTAAACATATTTCTTAACCACTTGAACACTTAGTCAAGTAGTATAACTTATTAACCAAAGGTTAACTTGTTATATTACAATATCATGTTGTTCAAAAGAATATTTTGATTTGCAATAATACAGGTGTACCATATTATTGTAAACACTTTTTAAAAATTTGTATAGAGCTAAATAAATAAGATATAAAGCTAAAAATTATACAAATTATTATTTAAATC